TAAATCCTTATGACAATAAGCGCTGGATTTTATCTGACGGAATCCAAACTTTACCTTATGGGCATTGGCGTATAAAGTCTTATTATCATTATGTCAAATCCGGAATGTCACCTGAATTAGCTGAAAAAAGAGCTATGTCAGTTAAACTTCGTCCTCAAAATTAGATAGGAGGCTTGTCTTCATCATCAGATGAGGATGCATCATCTTCTAAGCTATCAGTATTATGAGCCGTCATTGAAGCTACAATCCGTTGATAAATTTCCGGCTTCACTATAGCCAGCAGTACACGTAATTTGATATGTATTTTTTTATCCATAATCGCGCTAATAAGCATAGAAATGTTGCGGTCACCTTGTGAAGCTATCTTCCCTCGATTGGCATAACGCCTAATGGCATCATAATTAAGAGTTTCGAATAATTTAGCTAAATCTGTATGTGGATCCATTTTTATCAAAAGGAAATATAAATAATTCAAAATAAAAATATTGGTAAAATTAAAATGAGATCGCCCATATAGCCAAGCTTTTTACTGCGTTGTATGAACTTATATTATTGTAACCATGATAAAAATAGCACGGCTAAATGTGATCACTCATACACGTAATTAGTCCAATTGCCCCTGAAGGCGAAGTAAATCAGTAGTATATAACATCTGGATGAATTGGTCGGAGAATCGAAAAATAGCAAAATTAAAAATCAATTTTTACATCACAAAAATGATTAAAAATAAATTCGAAAAATTAATGCCTTTAGCCCTTCGGGGTAATAAAAAATTCATACTCATACTTATAGGAGTTTTAACCGTGCTAGCTCAGCTAATGACCATAGCACCGAAAATAATAATAATAGTTGATAAAGCCGTATTTACAGGTAAGCATTATAAATTTCTATCGGATGCAAGAAGTGCATTATTATTATTATTATTTCGATGGTATCTTATTAGAATTTTGTTTTTCCGTGTAGGCTATTTATTAATAACGGCTATAATACCGAAAACAATAATGATAATAATTAATAAAGCCGTATTGACAGGTAAATCCGTGCATAGCATTGATAGTTATTTTAATGACATCATATTAATTTTAAATATTTTTTTTTTTCGTGTAGACCTAAGCCATATAAAAATGAATGGCATGGTGAAGAAGGATACCGGAATTAGAATAGTTTTTTTTATTCTGTTAATTTGTAATGCACAAAGTGCACGGACTAAGTCCAATAATTATAGTAATAGATTTATACAATAATGCGGGCCAAAGAATAGGAACTGTTAACGCCTTTCAAGGGCAGGTCTTGGGGCCAACACGTTTCTCCCATGCAACCCGCGAATAGTAATAGCATAATTTTTATTATAATAAAATAAAATATTTCGCCCATATTTCAGGGCATTTTTAAAAATAAATATCAAAAACGCTTATTTATTCTAGGAATATTTAGAATTCTTGGAATATTTATTGTATAATATATGGCAAAATTCAATCAATATTACGAAAAATTTCTTGATCAATTACCCCCATCCATAAAAAACGATATATGGAAACGCCTTACAACCCGATTGCATAACCCCTTAACCGAAGAGTTGATAACTACGCAAAGAAAAAAGGCCGTCAACGTTTGAGGGTATTGACTAATGCCACCCCAGAGGGCTCTACGGCACTTTCTCAATTAGATGAATATAAAAAACGGTTTTCTATCCGTGAGGCTCAATTAGACCAAAAGGAGCAAGATATCGAAAATGTTATTTCCACACGGTTAAATGATGAGTATAATCGGCTCAGGGCTGAATATGACCATCGTTCATCCGAGTATGATACAACAGTATATGCATTAAAACAAAAATTAGAGGAAAAATATCTAACCCAATTAACCGCAATGGAAAAGACTTTGATAGATAAGGATCAGGCCCATGAACAGGTTTTACGTAGTAAAAATTCGAAAATAGCTGATTTGTCCGCTTTGCTAAAGGATATCAAGAAGTCTCTTAATGCCCTAAAAAAAGAGCGCACTTCGACCTTATCGGCTTTACAAAAATTAGAGGCTAAAAATCGGGAATTGCTTGAGGTCATAGACGCTAAGGACCAAAAAATAACCAATCTCAATGACCGCATTATATCCTACAACCCTCGGGGATGTGGTGATGGTGCTGTCGAGCCCGAATCTTTTTATACTACTATAGATAGAGATTTATGGGTGAAAAGACGCAATGATGCCAAATATGACCTTGAAATTCGGAAGAAATTTGCATTCAGATTTAGGCCATAGATAACCTAATTGGAACCATTTCGCTTTTCACGAAATTTGATGGGGCAATAATTTTTTCAATGGGTTCCGATGGGGCAATAATTTTTTCAATGGGCCTACATGGCTTTTTTCTCAAAAAATGTTTCCTTAAATTGGATGGATAACGGAAGTCTCTATAGCAAATATGACAAGTGCGATCTTCTCTAGCTTTGGGGGTGAATACTTTTTCGGAGCTATTTATGAGTCGAAGACTTTGGGCTTTGTCAATTCCGCCAATATGTGGAGTATCATATGGGATCGAGCCTATTTTTTTTTATGCACTGATAATGGCACAGTGATTTCTTTATCAGAATAACGGATTATGCATTTGCGGGATGAAATATCAGGGAGGGCACGTGCTTTATCAAGCCATGGAACACCAAGTATTAGTAGTAGCCCTTCTTCATCAATCTCATCAAAATCGCCTTCAATAATGCATCCATTTTTTCCGCCAACTTTAATGCCTAATC